TTTACATACAGTGCTATCAATTGGGCACAACCTTCCTACTATTACACAGAACCGTTGCAGCCTATTGAGGTTGTTCAACAATCCCATGACAAGAGAATAAACTTTCCTTATCTCCAAATGCTTAGTGGATTTATTTATTCATAATGTTTTCATCAACAAAATGACCATGGAAAAATAGAAAAGCTGTATAAACATCACAATGAAACATAAATTATTTATTTATTAGATAAGTAGCACGTCTGATTTTCGGTTTAAATCCAAAAATACTATTTTTGTATTGTTTTGTAATTAATATTATGTAATTTTGATAAATAAAAAGACTTTTTTTCTTCTTCTATTAGGTATTTACAGCAGATAGGTTTTATATTACATTAAAAAATTGGGAAAAAATTAATCAACTAAAATCTAAATCCTTCTAATAAGTGGGCAGACAGATTTCTTTAAAATTTAATATATGTGCTAAGTAAACATTTCTTAATGGCAAGTAATACACAACACCAAAAATCATTCTGCTTAGAGCTCCAGCATTTACCCCAAATGGAAACAGGCGATATTGATAAAGTACGGTAAATATTCTTCTTAACTAAAAAATATTTTAACTGTATTAATTCCCCTTGTGGGTGTATACCATAAGACAATCTGGTGAGAGATTAACAGAAAGGAATTATAATTTGTTGAGCTAATATATTTGTCTATGCATCTATTCCATTCTATTGTTACTGTTAAAATTGTTGTAGAAGGTTCGAATATATAGGAGGTAAGTGATTCTTTTATAAGTGCATTCTGTACAAATCCATCCATTTACTTTTATATACAACAAATAATAAAACATTTTTAAAGGAATCCCTCCAAACTTTTTGGACTTGATAAAACTGATACAAGACCATTTTAGGTATCAGAGCCTGTAAAATCCCTGAAAATTTCATCAAAATTGCAATCAATCACATCACAATTTGACTGTGGATTTACTTATTTTTTCATAGAACAAAATAGATTTTATAAATTACGGACAGGTATGACTGAAGAGGCTACATAGCAGGAATTGATTGTCCTACCTAACTATTTTTAGAGAGAATAAATATTATTCCTAATAGTTGTACAGCTTTTGTCATGTGAACAACCATAGTAAATACTTTCATTACAGGCCTTCTACATCAAGTATAAATTAGGCCTATCAAACGAAAATATGATTATTTATGATGTCTTTTGTTTGATTTTATTATATAATTCTGTAATCGTATTCATGAACATTGAGACAGAATTGATGTAGATTGAGATCTGAGCAATCAAAGTAGCATATTCATCCCGACCAATAGTGATCAGATTCAAGTCATGCCAGAGAGTATTAATTTTTCCATAATATAAATTTTGAACCCACTTTTGCTGGAATAAGTTAACAGCCAGCAGATAATCCCCCTTCTTCAATCTATTGGAGTACATTTAAGAGAATTAAACCCAATTTGATAACTTTGGGATATAGCCACCAATATCTTATTAAACATAGATTTGATACAGATAATTCTATGAAATATTGCATAACATATAATCAGTACAAATATCAGATGACATAGATACATGCTCAGTAAAAAAACAAAAAATTTATTTACAGCTCAATACTTATTGAAAGTTCTCTTCATCAAGATCTTCAAGTAGCCACGGGTTGGGAATAACTGGATGGATATTACTTCCAAAATAGAATGTTCTTATGTATCTTCTATTTACAGTGATATACAAGAAAAAAAAATGGACGAGGTAGTAGAAAATTTATAGTTTGATAATTAAATTAATTTAGAAATCGTAATAATTCAACATTAAGTGAATTAATGTAAAATAAAATCGTGAAACTCTTGGTGTGTTACGTAATAAATGAATACCACTCCAACTGCCAGTAAAAAGAAAATGTTATTGCTTTGAATTTTGTTTAACTTAATGACCGATAGCTGTTTTGGTTGTATGCGCAAAGTTAATATTGCAAAATGATCTAGTCCAGGGATCTCCAAATGATTTGGTTCACAGGACTAATTGAGAACTCGACTAAGTTCTGCAGGCTGTATTAAGACCTCCACCCAAGTCTCCCAGGCCATTGCTTGTGATGAAAAAAAATAATCTTGTTCTATTAATGACACTTCAGCTGTAAAATGAGCTTTTTAAGTGAAAAAAACCATGCAATAAATATTTTAGTAACCTCTTTTGTGAGTAATTTACTAAATTCATATTTTTAAAAATTTTATCATCTAATCAAAGAAACTTTTGCAGGTCAGATTGAAGGTGCTGGCGAGGCGGATGTGGCCCAAGGCCATAATTTGGAGACCCCTGATCTAGTTAAATGATGTACTTCAAAGTTAATTTAGGCAGTCAAAATATTTTTGGCTTATTACTTTTTACTCATAATATCCATAGATATAATATCAATTACAAAATAAATATCAATCACCAAATCTTAAGGGAGGAGGGATATTAAAAGCAATAGGATGTGACCTACATGTCTGGGTCATAACATCAACTAGTAAAATAAAAAAATCTGAATGATTTTCTGAATCTGTGATACATAAATAAAATACCAAGATTATTCATTCTTGTCATTATAGAAGTTGGTTACGAGGCATGGTCATTAATGAATTAAATCACAACATTAGAGAACCTTGCTTTATTGTGCACACATGCTTTGGCCTAAGTTTTGTACCTTCATAAGGGCTAAAAAAAACAACTTTTAATTACCATCCTACTATAGGACTTGACTATCCAGAACAACAGAGTGAGGGTCCTAAAGATTTAGGTTCAGAACTCTGTGGGTTCAATTTTCAATAGGGTCAGATAATAATTATTTCTCAGCTGCCAGAGAAATTGATCTTGACATACTCACTCTGGTTAATATGCAGTCGCTCTCTAGCTATCAGAGACCTTAAAAAGGATCGCAAACAAGGCTCACCGTGTTGGACTAGTTTCCCTAACTGGTAACAGCACTATTTTACTTAAATAATTACATTTCTGTTCAAATAAGGCTAATATATTTAGGTATTTTCCTGTCACATAAAGTTATTAAAGGTTATCTAAGAATGTGGCAGCATTCTATCTGCCAAGCAATAAAATCTTCATGAAAAAAAAATATAAAAAAAAAAAGGACAATGGCTAGTGACTATATTATGTTGACCTAATAAGTAAGGATTTTAGTGTATCTGGATTTTTTCGAAATATACCATTTTGATCTCGGAGCTTGAAATGTTACACAGACATACCTTAAATAAGGGGAACGATTGTCCTTGATTGTCTAGACTGTAATTTTTCTCAATAAGATCCTTGTTGTTCTTGTTCACCTTTGAATGGGCTTGGGATGTCCCCTTCCACTTATAATGAAATAAAACTCTATTTCTAAATGCTGAGGAGTCATGTCAGGGTTGAAAAATAAAAAATCAACAATCTTGCATGTGGTCTACCAACTGCTTCCTGCAGTGCCAAATACCACGCCATGATGAAGACCTACTAAGTGGGTCGAAATGTCGGTGTAACAAATAAAATACTATTTTAATAATTTAGTATTTATATTACCGCGCCTCGTTCCCACCAACTACTCATTTTTTTTTTCTCCTTTAGTTAATTATAAAATTCTTTCATTGTCTGTCTTTATCCATTTCTTACAACTACTAACAATGAGACTATTAATTATTTTTAAAAAATACATTAAAAGTACTTTAGAGGAAGTTATTTTGAAAATTCGGCCTTTAAGCCCTGTCAGACTATTTCAATGAGGAAAAAACCTAGTGGATATTAAAAGATATTATGTAAGAAACCAATGTAACATTATTTTTTCTTTATTTCTTCTTAAAATCTTTTTATTACTGTTTTTCAGAGTAATATTTTTTTATTTTGCCCTGATGAAGGCATAAAACTTAAGCACACAATAAAATAAGGATATTTATATTGGTGTGTTTCATTTCATCAATCAACCTACTTTTCTAACACTTCATTCATTCTATGGTCAACAATACCTTCTCTACCTTCATTCTTTGTCCTTTAAGAACTTCATTTCACTAGATTATATAAAGGAGACTAGTGTGAATGTTTTAACGTTAACATGCTAGATTATTCACTAAAATTTAAAACTAGTATTTTTAATTATTAAAGGAAGGAGATAATATTATTAGAATACTGAATATCAATGGAAGTACCCACAAATTTAAAGAATTCATTGTAAAAGAAAAATATTAGAAGTTTTAAAAGGGCTTTGATTTGAAATTTGACTAGATATACTAGTATTAAAAACAAAAAAGTAAGGATACTTTCCTGACTCACCTACTGGAAATTTTTTTAATTAATACAACTTAGATAAGGAAAAAAAAAAGTACACCTTATACAATAAAGCATCGGTTTTCATATGATATCTTCCTGGTGGCTGGCAATTAAAAAAGTATTAACTGTAATTTCTTGCTCAATAATTGGATACAAAATTTCAATTAAACAGGATAAAGGGCCTTTAAAGCATAATTTGTCAGCCAAAGGGACGACCAGATATTAAACTTATGAATCCCTAAACAGACTGTAAATCTTCAGAATAGCTAACAAATCCTTCAACAGTAGTTTTTTCATTGCAGTAAAACAAGAAATCCAAATATGATGTTTTTTCCCAAATATTTCTTGCCCCTCAAATTATTGAATCAATGGACATTAATGACTTTGATCACCAAAATTTGATCAAGGAAAATAACAAAATCATTGATTGAAGGTCAGTATTGATTGATCATAAATAAGAGAGAGAAGACCAAGCTTTATCATTTTTAATTATACTATAGTTAACTACACTTTAATTATACTAGTTAACAACACTTAAAATCCTTTCCCAATAAACACAGTAACAATGAAAAATTACTGAACATATAACACAATATGAAATTTCAAGATGTAAACATTAAAGAAATACTGTTCTGAAAACCACTTTAAGAATAATTATAAGCATGCAGTTGTAAATAAACAAATAAGCATTAATATTAATGGTAAATACTCACCATTATCGTCGATTATTTCCTCAATCTGCTCAGATTTAGATGGCTGAAAAATAAATTGGTCATTAGAATATTATTCAACTAGAGAGAGTATATGTTATTATAAATGTTATGAATAAATGTTGTTATGAATCACATATGAATATTGAAAATCACAAGCAATCACTAAACAAGACAATTGGCAAAAAGGGATGTTTTTTGAGTTAATAGGAATTCCACAATATTTTGAAATTATAATCACACATCATCTTATAAAATATTCATCGTTAACAAAAGAATAAATAAATAAAACCAGAAGGCATGGTATTCACAAAACTGGAGCACAAAAATTCAGTGGTGTTTCCAATTTTGTCTGTGAGAATTATGTGATAACCTAATGGAATAAATAAACACTTCATGGTTGCTAAATATTTAGAATATCATACCCTTGAGAGAGCCAATAAAAAAGGATATTAAACCTAATCAATATAAAACTTAAAAAAACAAAACAGAAATACAATAAAAAACTACACATAACCGAGTAATAATTATTTTAATCAAACAATTTTTGGATGAGAAGCAATATTGTTTGAAACTTACACTATCTACATTAAGAGTACTTCCTTTAGTAGGTGTGAGTGGGCAAGCCTGTGGAGAATCTTTACTCGAATCATGGCTGCACCAAGATCCATCTTTGTTAAGTTGAATCTCTGCACAATCTGGTCCAAGTTCTGAACTATTCAGAACATCTTGAAAATATCTGAAATAATTAAAATTTATATTAAATTTTTTTTTTAAAATAATAAGCCAAAAACTCAAGTAGGTAAATTAGCCATTATTATAATTATACCTCTAGTCATAAACCATAAAAACAAGCTATTACAAGAAGATTAACCATTTAGAAAACTATCATACTCGCATAATGCAAAATATTTATTATTTGTTCATACCTATTTTCTTCGAAAAAATTAATATGTTTTAAAGTTGTTATTTATAAATAAAGCTGTTGTATCAATAAAAAGTGCACAAAATTATAATGACCTAACCAGAAAAAATATAGTTATTGAACACTTTTCAGAATCAATGCTTCACATTATCTACATAATTTATTAATCTTGAGAGCAAAAATACAGAATGCTCTAGGACATAAGCATTATTGTGTTGTCCAGCCCAAAAATAGAATTCTCGTTATACCTTTCTATTAACCTCTTATCTTAATTGACAGATTAATTCTTAGAAAAACATCTTTTCTCTCCCTAAATGAAATCCAGTGTTCACCCTTGACTTCAGTCTCTCACTTTTCCAACCTGTGATCAGGCTGATCCTTTAGCTTTGCTCTCCTTATGTTCTACTCCTGTAGACTCAATTCTTGACACCAGTATGTTTCTTTTCTTGCTGGAGGTCAGACCAATCTCTTTTGGTTCTTTCTCTCATTCCTCTGGCACTGTCTTAAAGTTGATACTTTAGTGTACGGTTTTCCTAACCTAAAGTGAAGTTTGAAAGAGTTTACTATTTTTGTTAGCTGTCGTGTATGGTTTAAAGGCTGACCCCTTAAACTTGTCCCACTTTACCCAAAAATCCTAAACAAACAGCCCTAATGAAGGACAAAAACTTAAGCAAAATACCATCACACAAGAAACTAAATCCATTCAAGAGATACTTCTTTCATCTTTGACTGCATCTCCAACCGATTTCTCTAACTAATAAAAATATTAAGGTGGCTATGGCTGAATATTTTTAAAGATGAAGCTTGTATATCACTGAACACTTGTCACCAGGTTCCTAATCTCGCAACATGAATTAAAAGAATCCTTATGTCTCTACTCTTGTAGACATGCTTAGATCCTGGTATTTAGAAAAACTGGTAGTCAGTAACAGATATTTCTTTGAATTGGTGGCATTCGTTTGTTTTTAGAGAGGTTTGGTGAACTATTAGCGTATGTCTATTAAGCTCTTGAGTAATTAGGATGGATGATGGAAAAGCAAATCATTATACTAGGATTCTATGTAAGGAATCAGACACCAGTCAGACCATCATCGTGAAAGAGAGAATCTAAGGTCGGAAGCACTCAGTGGTAGAAATATTACCGAAATGAGCATCACCTGACTGCGATTACAGAAAATTAGTTGAAAGGACTAAGGCAGCTTAATGTACCTTTTGATCCAATTGAAAATTACAATACAAGCATATTCAATATCCAATTGAGAAGATTTACATGTAATCAGCTCGCTTTTATGAAGATAAATGACATTTTCAACATCTTACATAATTTGAAAAGATATATTTACGATATATATTAAGATTTACCAAATTGAGAAATATTGAAACATGTTTTAAAACTTTTATTATATAAGAAAAAAAAAATGGAGCTCATTAAAAATATATATATATATATTTATCAACAACTTTAATACGATCCAGGAATAAACTGGATTAGAATATAAATGAATTGAGGGAAAAAATGCAGACAAATAATAAATACTTACCCATCAATAACTAAGTTATCATACAGAGCAGGTTTATTACACACAGGGCAAGTCCATGTAGGTCTCTTTTCATTCATACTTAGAAATATGGAGGCATCAAAACATTGAAGATGAGTACAAGTTGATGACCGACAAGGTGTAATCATTCTCATTTTTCCGAGAGGGCAGATCAAGGACACTCTCAATACGGTAGTAGCAATGTCATTATCACTATCCGACAGCTTATCTTTAACTAAAATTGACAACATAAATAAAAATATATTATCAGCATATTATATCGTTTAAGGCACAACACTTTTGTATTAACAATAAAACCACATATTTGATCACTACATACAGTCCTACTTTATTTGTTTTTTGTTTTTTTCATCTAAGTTTCAGCCCTCAGGCCATTATCAAGGGAAGAAACTTATTTTAATAATTTAAAAATCATTATGGGCTGAATTGCTCTTGTCAACTTTATTTAACTAGTAAAACACTAAAAACTCATTTTATTATTATAATTTTTTTTTTTATTGTTTGACTAAAAATGTATATCTAACATTACAAAACTTGATTATACATGAATATAGAGTAATTTCAATGTTTTAAAAATTTCTAGAGGATTCTATTTCCCTCGCCCCTTTTCCCAATAACAATCATACAAGTCAGTATCGGCATTTTGAGCTATTATATTTTTATCTTTCCTTTCATGAAAAAAAAAAAAGAAGAAAAGGGTTTTTGGAATGTTAATTCTAATGTCCTCCACAGTAGAAGGAATGATTAAAACTCAGAATGAAAAAGTTTGGTTTCACAGATCCATGGTGTTATAATCAAAGAAGACTTTTGATTATATCAAGAAGGAACATGTCGGTTGACGTAACCTGAAAAGGACCTTGATGACAAGATCAATTGTCGATAGATCATCCAGACTACTGATCATCTATATTACAGAGTAAATAGAGTATTTAATTGTTCCTTTTTTTTCTAATTAAGCCCAGTACTTTAAAGTGTGAACCCATCCAGATCACCAAATCATCTAGCATGCATTTATCCAGATTACTGATATTTTTATGATCAATTAACTAAATGAACAGTACAAATAATCACAAATATACAAAAATATTATCCATCTAATGAAGAAATAATGCGCTGGTAGATTTATTATGGGGCATAAAAAATAATGAAAACATATAAAATGTAATTAATTATAAAATGAAACTTACTTAAACCAGTTGTATAATCGGCATGTCTAGCTCCTTTATTTTTCAGTCTTTGCAAAAGTTCCTGTGCATTCAACTTTTTAACAAGATTCACTGATACTACATAACCTCGCTGGAAATCTGGATTCCATGAAATAGATAAACTGTTGGGTACTGAAGGACAAAGTTTTACCAGATGGGATATATTAACTGGTCTGGATGGCCTTCTTGACTCAACATTGCCTTGCTTGTTTGTAGGAAGCGGACTCTATATTTCGAAAACAAATCAAGAAAACAATGTAAGTAATTCATCATTTCAACAGTGTTATAGAGTAAAGAGATATTATTCAATTTCTTCTGATTAAACTTGTTAAGGTGCTAAACTTATTATGTTTGTTATTCAAGTATGAATAACAAACATAAATATCTTTTATTCATTTACTTATCGTGGATGCACTTAACATAAGCAATTAATAACAAAATATATGGGGAAAAAATGTAGTCTTTTACAGAACACCACTGGTTAATTTTTAAACAAAATATGATAAATTCAAATTATTAAAACTATAGTATTTTAAAAAATATCAAATCCAGAATCAAAGCAACACAACTCAGAAATTGTTACTTTCACTTACCAGTGAAATTTATAGTAGGGACAAATATTGCAATAGATAAAAATGTTGACTACAAATTGGTTATCTGTGGGTGCACGTAAGTAGTCTAGCTCTAAAAGTCACAAAAAATGGAAATCTTGTATTTATGTCTGGGATGTTACAACATTTTATTCACTATAGATAGACTAACCAGAAGAAGCACATTATGTCAACAAATTAACATTATATTATAGTAGTATAGAATTAAAATGGATGACCTTTGAGGGGCGATGGGAGCTCACTAACCCCACTCCTATGACTTTGAGTCAATTATGACTGAGATATGATTAGTGTTTTTTCTTAGCCTATCTCCAATTTATAGTGTTTGTTTGTTTGCTTTTTTGGTAATTTTATTTTTAAAATGGAGTACCGTTAAGAATAAGCTATCTATTCAAAAGATATTAAAGGTTTGAAATTTAAAGTTTATGTTCTTCTTCTGTATGTAACCAAGTGACTGTTGGTATAATTTTAACAAAGTTCTGTGCAGTGATTTTGAATGAAGTAATGAGGAAACAATTTATATTTTTTACTATTTGGAAGTCTCAAATTATTTTGTACTACATATTAAAGAACAATGAATATTCTTCAAAAATCATAAGTGTTATAAGATTTTCAATGAATATAAAAGATTTTTTCCTTGGTTAGTTGAGGAGCTATATATTACATAACTTGTGATATAGGAAACACATTCAGCACCACCTGACCCACTGTCTTTTAAAAATTAAGTAGTTGAAATTTGTCTTTCACAGGTTTGAAGGAGAAATATTTTATATTAAGTTTTACAAAACTTTTCTGCCCCATGATATAGATTAACAATACGAAAAAATTGATTGTTGCTGTTGTAGGAAGACAAAAAAAAAAAAAAGAGAGGAAAAAGAAATGAACTGGTATTTCATCATAACTTGTTAATTTTTACACCAAATTTTAACCAAAATGAAATTTGAATACAGATGAAAACAACAGAGCAGTTACCACTTGTAATCATTAACATATTTTAGATTTTTCTTTTTGAATTACAGTAAACATACAAAATCTACTTTATCCTCTTGAAAACCAATTGAATTGTAGACAAATTTGCGACAGCTGCATTTTTTTAAATTATAAAATAATGATATCAGTGACATTTGCAATAAAATCTTAAGAGAATCTGAGGGCTGAGAATGGATTATGGTAGTAGGGGGAATATGAACTACCATCTCCAGCCTTCTTGTAATGAGAAAACTATTCTATACTGCACTGTATTCGATGGGAAATGACTCTAATTCTAATGATTTGATTAAACTCATTATATCAATTTGAAATTAAATGGTCTTTAATGTCAAGGAGATACAATCCTCATTTAAATAATCGGACAGCGCTTAAATGCTGAATTTTCATAATTTTTCCTTTAGTTTTATTTATTTAAAATAATTAACAGTCTTGCAGTGTTACTACCAATGTAAAATTGTTGCATATAAACTATGAAAGAATTTGATAATTAATGAAAGGAAATATAAGGGCTAGTAAGGTGGGATAGAGAACCAATAAAGGAACCAAGTTCACTTGAGAGGTTACAACAGCTTCCGAATGCAATACATAATATCTTATATCATTGGTGAGGAATGTATGGACTCTGGCATTTAGATAGTGTTTAGGGAACACAGAAAATTTCAAATTTTATTTAATTTAAATAAAATTAAATAAAGAGTCAAGCAACACAGCTGCGATCTCGAGCCATACTGACAATATATTTCAGATGTGAGGCAGATTCCGCCATCACTGAAGGGTAGATGCTCACGCATTTTTAAATCATTAGGCTGGCCAGTAAGAAAATTAAGAATTCTCCTGTGTGTTTGTTTCGATGCCTAGGCGCAAAACATCAAGGTCAAAAGCACCCAATCAGCTAAATAACACCACTTAATACTATTTGGATGGTTGGTACAAAAAATAAAAATAAATAAAGAAATGGATTGATAGAATAAAATAAATAAATAAGGATAATAATAGACATTTATAAATAATAAGATAGAATAGATAAATAAACTTAAAAAAAATAGCAGTAAAATCAATAAATGAATTGAGATTAATAAACAAATGAATTCGAAATGAACAAATGAAAAAAATAAATAAATAAATAAGTAAAAAAAAATAAATAGAATAAAAATAAATAAATAATAATAAATCTGCAAAGGATCATTAATTATAAGCTTGTCATATGTGTTTTTTAAGTATTTCACTATCCAGGAACTTGACGACTTTGGTAACAATTTCTTCTTGATTTCCCAAAGCTGCTGATATATTCTGGGGTATTCCGAGATTTTTTAATCTTGCAGTGCAAAAAGGGCACTCTTCCAAAATATGTTTTATAGTTAGTGATTGGTTACACTTTTGACATCTGGGAATATTCCGAATAATCTTGTGTTATGAGGTGGAGGTGTGTCAGAATTCTCTTGATAAACATGGAGTTATAAACTACAACGGCCGGCAAGGGGCCAAGAAAGGGAAATCGCACAAGTATCCCAACCCACCTAAATTTTAACATTGTGTAAAATCCAAAATTAGCTTAAATGAAGCCATTAATTTTATATTTCCATTTATTTAGTCCACTAACTCCTATGATTTTACGGTCCTAGCAATAAATTCTGTACCCGCTATTAAAGTGTAATTATTATGTCAATATCCCTGACAGTCTTGGAAGGGATTGGCATAATAAATTAAACATGTAGTATTTATGAGACTTTTAAAAATGCTCTGGTATCAATTAATATTAAATTACATAGATTATAGTAAGATGAAAATTAAAATTTGCATATATAAGTGGGCGAAGACTAAACAATTTAGTATCTTTTCTACTTTGATTTCTCAAAATTTTTTTCATTATGTTCAGTGAAGTAGCTATAGACAAAAAATGTGTGTCGCTATAGACTGCGCCAAGTCGGGCTGTAATGATTTTAATGAAACTTGGCTTAAGTATTCTCCATGAATACTTCACCCAAGGGGCTGAAAAAAAAGTAACTATGGATTCAGAATTTTATTTGCAAATAACTCAAGAAGTACACAAATGGTAGATAATGAACTGCTTTAAATAGTAAGTACATATAAAAGTGTATGTTCTCAGATAAGAGATTGTTGGAAGCATGAAAATTTATATGTGAAGCAGCATCACTACCTCCACTTATTAATAACTACATCAATGATAACATATCACCAAGTGATATATAAAAAACTAATTAGAAACAGAAGGTTACACTACGTTGTAGAGTAGTTCAGTTAAATGAATAATTGCAACATTTGTCTTTTAAAACTATTCAAATATTGTAACATTGTTAATATTCTAGTATGATTCCTTTGTGAAAGTTAATATCTTAATATAAAATATACTAGTTATAAGATTACATATAATTTAATAGATCAATGAGGTGGGAGGAAATTACCACATAGTAATTATTTAAAATGAATATGTTGTAACATTTATAATTTTTACTTTTACTTAAAATTAAATATAATTTAATAGGAAAGTCAGAGAGAAAAATTACCAAATATTAACTATTAAAAATTAATATGATGTAGCATTTATAAGTTTTACTTTGCCTCCAATATATCAAAATACCTATTTCTACTCACAGTAGGGTGAGTGGTAAGTGAAAGTTGCTAGATACCAGATTTTACTTTCACTTACGTAGATATGAAATATATTTGTTTTGGAGTACCCAGAGACCAAAAAACCAAGCCCTGAAAAAATGGTCTGTGTGTGTATGTTAGCAGTCTAGCTCAAAAATGAAAAGTCGTACGAAACTGATATTACGTATTTAAGATAGGTATATGCCTCAGATGTGACAGCAACTTTTCGCTTAAAATCAAAAACCGGAAGTGCCACTTTATATCAACGGTGAAAAACATTTTTACAATTTTCTCAAAAACAGCTCTAACGATTTTGAATAAACTCGGTGTATCATTGTATAATTACATGGTCTTTAATATCATTTAGGTCTTATCCTCTTTGATGCCACTTTACACGGCTTGAATGCCCAATGTTCATATATGTCTTCCTCTAAAGTATCTTTAATATGGATTATTTTAAATAATTAACTATCTCTCATAATTAAGAGTTACGAAAAAATGCTAAATATAACTTTTGAAAGAATTTGATAATTGAATAAAGAAAATAATAAAAATGATTATCCAGGTCGAAAATGAATCTCTGGAAATACTAGTTAAAAAGTATACAAAAAAAACAAAACAATATCTAATATAGAAAGTTGTAGAAACTAACGGAGAGTGGCAAAAAATTATAAATAATAATTTTTGAAAACTAATAATATTTAATGTAAATCACATGTTTTCTAGGAAATTAAATGAAATTTACTAACTAAATGTAAACTCTTAAAATATTTTTAAGTTTGAAAAAAGTATTTAAAATCCAACTAATCAAGACAATGACATTGTTTAAAAAAATATTTCATTGTACTTGTGAAAAAGAAGAAGTGAAATATAAAATCATGGATTTATAAAGCATATGTTTATAGCCTTAAATACATTTTTTTTTTATTCTTGGCGCTACAGTCCTGTAAGATCCTGGGCCTCTCTTATGATCCTTCGCCATTCTTCCCTATCCCGAGCGAGCATTCTTTATCTTTGAATTCCCATCCTTTTCAGGCTGTCCTCTACCTGGTTCAGCCATTTCAGGCGTTTACTGGAGTTTAATAATTCTAGATCTGATATTATATTGAAATAATTAGGCATCAACGTCTGTTTATTCCGAAATATTGTCACGTAACTTTTTAGAAAATTAAATTAGTAAATAATTTGATGAATTTCCCCTTTGGGATATTCTAACAGTAGTGACTAATACTTCATTGTACTTGTGTGAAAGAAGAAGTGAAATATAAAAATATTTCACAGATATGCTTAGCTTATAACCTTAAATACATTTACTGTAGTTTAATAACTCTAAATCTGATATTATATTTAAATATTTAGGTATGTATCGTGCGTTTATTCCAAAAAATCATCATGTAACGTTTTAGAAAATTAAATTAGTGAATAGTTGGATGAAATTTTCTTTTGTGATATTCCAACAGTATCCACTTAAAATTAGTGTGACAACTTTTGACCTGTCGATGACAGACAATGCAAATCTCTAAATTCTGTTTTAGTGAACTTTGCAATGGAAATAACAGTTCAATAACCAATAGATCGTACAATCCATCCTCAACCAGTGATGTAATAAATAGGACTTTTATTTTAATAGTATTTATGATGTGTTATCTGTAATTTTTTAGCTTTAGCTCGGTTAAAAATGCAATTTAAAAATTTTATAATAGCCCAACATGGCCAGAAAATAATTTCTATTAAAAAGTTGAGCGATAAGTGAAAATTGTGTGTTGCTCGCACCAGATTTTTTTAGTTATGGACATCAATAGATAAATAATAAAATCGGCATCAAAGGATTAAATCAATTTCCCTCATTTTACAAGATACCTAATAAACCACAGAAGATTTGTCTTCAGTAAAAACCAATATTGAAGGAGTAGCTCAGAGGAATAACTGATAAAAAAAAAAGACTAACAAGCTATGTTATTTAAGTCAATTACATCCTAGATGTTTTAAGTTAGATTAATGACTTACAGGTAATGGTGCCAGTTTGCCATTAACTTTCACTGTAATGCCTGGAGGAAAAGCATCTTCCTGTTCAACCGCAGTTTCAAGCAAACAAAATCTCATCTGTACCTTTAAAAATGTAAGGAAAATTAGAATAACATAAATGATATCTTGGTATTTTATTTGATATTATCCAATGATTAGACATACTTGAACAACATATTCGTTCCTTGTTCCAGGCCCCACTTCTCTATTCATTGAAATTTCAGATGCTTGTTTTGGAGTAAGAAAAAACACAAAGTTTGCTCCAATGTCCCTACCAGCTGCCGGTTGAACTGCTGCTGATAGAACAAATAAAAAAACATCATAAAAATAAATAAACAATAAATATTTTCCAAAATATAATTATAGCGAATATTGAAAAAAACTAGGTCTAAAGGTCTTGGGTCTCAAACATAAGAAAATACTAAATGGTATAAACTTAACAGTTATAATAATATATTACCTTGCTTGTCCCTAACATATAATTTTTCTCATCTTTGTTTTGAAAATGGACGAGATGTGAATTGATCGTTTCATTAATGCTTACTGTAGGTGGAAGGGTTGGAGATAAAACGTTATTTTACTGTTCCCTTATATCCCTAGAGTACTTAGCAACAAGTAGAGAAACTTTGAAACATTGCCTGCTTTAACATTCTCAAGTCCAGCAGTACTGGTTTAAATCCAGCCTGGGCAGACTAAAATTTATTTCTTGATAAGACTCACAGAATGAATCTCGATTATCTCATTTAAGTTACAGTTAGACCTTAAGGTAGATTAAGTTAAGTAAAAGAGAGAAGGTTTGATGGAAAAAATTAGTGGAAAGAGGCTTTTTCAAGTTTTATAGGAATTAGAGAGATAATAAACTGCACACTTATTGCCAAGTACTTATGGAAAAATGGAATGAATAAACTAAAATTTCTAATGCCTAACTGCTTTTCATGTATAATGAGAAAAATTTAAGCAAGGCTACTGGACACCTAGTTATTCCTAACCTTTATTTATTAAGTTAAATTTTATATTCTGAAAAATTGGTTGTTAAGGTCTGAACGGTCCAGTAAGTCTAATTAAAATCCTATATAAAAATTAGGTATTGGATAATAAATTTAAAGTAAAATATAACTTACTTAGAGTTGAAGGCTTAAGAAGTTCTCCAAGTAAATCATAAAACGGAAGCCTCTTAAACCTGACATCAGGATTCATCGGAAGGATTGGATGACTTGATGGAGTATTATTCATCGTCATCAGCTTGGGTTGATACCCATACATACTCAAAAATTGATTATTACGGGCCCTTATTTGGTCCTAAAACAATTAATTTATAGTAAATACTAAAAAACTAGACAACTATTTATTCACTTCAGACAATCTATTTAAAGTAATAACAATAAAAACGCAAAGAGCAGCTACTAAATGTAATGACCGAGGTTTAACATTCTTGGGGGCTCCTTAGTTGTTTATACTGTTCACAAACGCACAATGGTACCACACACAGAGGATATTTACAGTACATACCCATCAACAACCTTACCCAAGAAGAAACAATAAAAGGTCTTAAATTGGCCAAACAATGATGGCTCAAATCAACTTTGAAAAGAATGGCAACAGGTAAAATGTTGATTTGCATTTATATTTATATCTATAGCATTAACATCTTATTTAAACTTTCAAGAATCATCAATGAAAAATCGCTAAAAATAAAGTAAGCAGGACTTAATAATTAGTGCTTTTAACATGAATATTTATGAAATACAAACATGACACAGTTGTTTATACACACACAAAGTAACATGTTTAAAGAAAAAAACTTTTAATCTTAAACTACTAAATGAATTACTAAACAAATATTTGTTAAAAGTATCTTATAGTCAACATATTAATTGTAATATGAACAATTCTTGGGCACATTTTTAATTTTACATAGATTACTTCTGATAATTGAAGTTAACAAAAGAACAATTTGAAATAGGGATTCAAAATTTTGTAGACCAAGCAAAAGTAAAAATTTAAGCTAATAATGTTAAAACCAATTTTTAATTAAATGAAATTATTTCGTGAAAAACAATCAAAATACCTACCATGAATAATGGTTGATAGCTATCCAATCCTTCTAAATAATGTAACAGAAACAATGTTTTGTTATCCATTTGAGAGCAGTCATAGGTTAGAAATGTGCAGGTTATAAAAGGAGGTAAAGCCAGACTGTTAACAGCCCAGAACCTAATGTAGGTCAAATTAATCGTATATAAAATAACAAAAGGAAAACATGTTCGTAAATATTGAATGACAAAATAAATATCCTTGCAAATTTAACGCCAAAATACTAGTTAGGATAAACTAGCAAAAGCCAATGAATGAAATACATATCGTTGCTACTTGTTCAATTTAAATTATTTCTTACGTCCTTCTTGACCTAGTTGGAGATAATGAGAACGTTATGTCTAAAAAAAAAAGACAATAAAAAGTAGTTAGAAGGGCCAGATTAGGCATAAGTGGATGCATACTTTTAACTTTTATTAAACCCTTTTATCTAACAGTTTCGATGTAAGTTTTCATGTAAAATCTTATACAAATAAAAATTTTAAGGAAATTTTTGTAATAAAGTTCTTGATTTATAAAGTCTTGGTTTACGGTAAAGTTTAACTTTTATTTATTTAAGTCCTTAAAAAAAAGTTACGTTGAATAAAAAATAAACAGTAATGACACTTGGATTACGGACTTAATTTTTCTTTAGTGAATTAACTGCTCAATTACAACTCTTTGGAGAAATGAATTTCTTCAACAGAACGTATAAGTAAAAGTTCTGTAAAACTTTTGCATGAAAAGTTGCGTGGGAAAATGAATTGCTTCAAAAGAACTTTTTAAAGTTCTACTTCTCAAAGAATAGAAAAACAATTATAATAAAGATTCCAGTCCTATCGAAACTGCTTAAAAATTAAAGTTATACTTTCATTTCAAATCCTGAGCCGTAAAGTGACCTTGAATGAAAAATTTTGGAAATGATAGATTAAGTTCGGCAAATCCTCCACAAGATAGTCAAACACAATTAACATTTAAGTTGTATAATTAATTGTTTGTCTACGTTTTATTTTATTTATTATTTTAATATACTCCAAAAAGCGATGATTAACAGACGTAAAAATAAAGAAAGATTGAAAAAATTAATATTTCGTGGCTCTCTACTCGGGTTACAGCCTTTAAGTATTAAGGTGCGTATAGACATTTCACAAATTACGTGAAAAAACTCTAACAGCGACATTAGTGCTGATCTAAGTCTAGGCCGTTAGATCTAAATCTGGCCTAAATCTCTTTACTTTTGAGACCTCCACAAAGTCCCCGTTGGTCGCAATGAGACTTCCATCCAAGTCCGGCAGGCCATGGCTTGTGATGAAAATAAAATCTTTTTCTATAAATGATACTTCGGCTGTGAAATGAGCTTTCACAAATAAAAACCCACGCAATAAATGTTGTAGTAACCTCGTTTGTAGTGATTTGCTAAAATTCAAAATTTTGAACAGTTCATATAATTTTACCATGTGATCAAAGAAACTTTCGCGGGCCGGATTGAAGGTCCTTGAGGGCCGTAGCTTGGAGATCCCTTATCTGAACTATTTAGCCCTGGAGCCAGGGCCCAAAAATCGACCTGATCGCAGGCGAAGGTTTGATTGTAAATTATGAAACGGTATGTTATTCTGAGTAAAAAGAACCTTGTCTGCCGTTCCAGAGCCGCTGCTTTCAAAAATGACGGCTGATTTAAAGAATATTAGGGCAATAATTTGAGGATCGAAACCGGAAATCTATTGCGAAAAATGTGAGAAAAGTTTTAATTTTTTTAACTTGTATATATAGGCTTAGACATGCAAAAAACAAAATTGCTAACTCAGATCACCAAGGGAAAACTTTTTACAGCCAAAAAAGTCAGATTTTTTCGACGTTTTTTTGGTTTTTCACCTATAACTCCTAAACGATGCATCAAAGCGAAAAATTTATGAATTAGTTGGTGCTCAGTATACACAAAATTTGAGGCTCTACAACTTTGATTCTATAGGTTTATCCTCTTAGGGAACTCATTTCCAATTTACGGAGCCATTTATAGTAATTTGTCTCAGTTTTTGACAAATTTAGCAAAACTCAGCGTTGGTTGACGGTGGTTTTATACCTTACCGCGTTACCAAATTTTAAAGTTTATGTACTCGTTTGACTCAAAATTTAACGTTCTTTAATTTATTAAAGAATATATTTTTCGTTTTGATGCATTGTTTAGGAGTTATAGGTGAAAAACCCCCAAAATATCGAAAAAATCTGACTTTTTTGGCTGTAAAAAGTTTTCCCTTTGTGGCCCACGTTAGCAATTTTGTTTTTTACATGTCTAGACCCATATATAAAAGTTAAAAAAATAAAAAGTTTTCTCACATTTTTCGCAATGGATTTCCCGTTTCGATCCGCAAATTATTGGCCTAATATTCTTTAAATCAGCCTCCATTTTTTAAAGCAGCGGCTCTGGAACGGCAGACAAAGTTCTTTTTACTCAGAATAACATACAATTTAGTAAATTACAATCAAACCTTCGCCTGCGATCAGGTCGATTTTCGGGCCCTGGCTCCAGGGCTAATTTATTTTATTTCTCTTGATACCGATAGCAGACGGAAAATATAAAAAACAAAAACACTAGCATAGTGAAATAACCATTTATATATTTGTTTTTTCCAGTTTGCGAAATGTCTAAACGTACAGAATAAACGAGCTTTTTTTTTAAAGCTATCTCCGCCCAAGTTCAACCCTCTCCTTTTATGGAGGCAAAATGAAAATATTTTATGACATTCAACAGTTTTAATATTACTTTTTTTAATATAACGATTTTTTTTTTTCAAAACTATTTCTTAAATATTAAATAATCAAGAAACAAGATTTAATGTACGACTTAGATGTTAGCTAAATTCTATTAAATCTTTATTTCTGAAGTCAATTGTAACATAGTTAATGTCCATTTCCCTAAAAATAAAAATATTTTGGAATTTTTCAATAATTTTCCATAAAACTGGTAAAGAATAATTTACTTTTTATTTTTAAAATATATAGAACAGAAAATCATCCCACACTATGTTGTTGGAGATTCAGTAATGGGAAGGAGCCTTTTTCATTTATTTCAGAATGTTGTCAAGGAGAATTGTCCACATAATATATTACCATAGACTGTACTGTCATTAATTTAGGTAATCAAATAAAATTAATCACCCTATATAAACAGCCTATCTTTCTGTGAGTTTAAGTAGAAAACTGACAACTTAATAATAGTCGGTATCCATATTAGCTCCATGGTAGGGTCTGCAGTTCATCAAGTCAGATCTGTGGCTTCTAGGCATCAAAATGTGGTGTGGAATCGACCGCCCAGGAATCTGCTTCCCTTCCATCTCACTTTCTGTAGAGCGACCAGGACATTTTATATATGTCCAACTGTTGCAGGAGTTGTCAAAGCGACCTCAGTCTATGTAAAGATAAAATGTTCCATTGGGCAAATGACAAGTTCGTGTGAGGATTCCTAGATCTTTTCCTTAAAGACAGTCTGGCTATTTCTTGTTGAGGTCTCGATGTGATGGGTTTTTATAGTTGCCAATTTTTAAAGGAAGAAACTCTGTTTTAAAGCGACATAGATAAAAAATGGTTATGTTCAGACAGCTTACAATTGCATAACCATTTTTTATCTATGTCGCTTTAAAACAGAGTTCCTCCATTCAAAACCTAAAGAGCAAAATAAGACAGCTAGCTCTGAAATGGTAACTGTTGTGACGTCACATGGTGATCTATGATATTTTGAACATCTGTATTGTACAAATGATACTTTTTTTGTAATACTTTTCTTATGATTAATAAAAGTTGTTGTTCTAACTTGTTTCAAGAGCACATTGTCTTTTATCTTTATATTCTCCAACCTCAACCCTTATCCAGTAAGTTTTTGTGTGTGTCTTGTCTCATATTAGTCAAAGTCACAACGGTAACAATTCATGAGAACAAAAGAATTGAGTTATAATCAGTAAAATATTGTGGTAGAATAAAGTTAATTTAAAGTTAGAGAGAAAAACAGTAATTGTTTATGGGTCATTGTATTAAAATAACTAGAAACCATTAAAAAATAAAGAGGATTTTTTCAAACTTCAAAACATCAATTTATTTTTAACAATTTGTGGTAAAGTTGTCAGGTTTAGAAAAATAGATTTCATATAAAATCTATAGTAAATTTTGTCTCCTTTAGTATTTAAGATAAATAAATTTTAAGTATGCCACATGGAAAAACAGATAATTAGCCAAAAACAAACCATAATACATGTTTTTTTGCCAATTTTCAAAACTTCTGCCATTTCGAAAGATCAATAGTTCGCTTCCTTTTGAGTTTAGATAAAAATATTCCTTACAAAAATGTTACGATTATTCTATGCTATATAACATTGAATATAACCATGTTTTAGCTATATTGTTTTAAAATGGAGATATTTAAGCATTTAAAAAAGTCCAAAATTTCAGCAGATTTAGGAGCAGTGCCATGAATCCACAAGTCTTTCAATTTCGAAAACTTATATTTTTTATATTCATTATACACCTAAAAATATTCAAAAAGAAATTTGAATTAACCGACATTTTGCAAGGTGGACACCATTGTTTGTGCTATTTTAATTGGACTAATGAGCCATTTATTAAATTGATATGCAGCTGGTGAACAACACTGTTGTACTCAATTTTTTTCCCTTATTTTTGCCATAAAGAAAATATTTGTTCAATAGTTGAATAATTCCATCCACACTGGTAATTTCAGATAATTTCCAGGTTGTATTCCATGATTCGATTAGTAACGATTAATGTGAATATTTTATAACTTACCAGGAGTGAGATTCCTCGATAGTTATTACTGGAGATCAAATTTTAAGGATTTATTCTTTTTTTCTGTTTAAGAGAAAACCGAGATCTCAAATGATCAATGTCAATCTGGAGAAATAAACTTAAAATACAAAATCCTACAGAAATTTGTTTTTGATTTGTTTTGCACTATACATCTTTTTTGCAATTTTCCACAAAAAAAATTCTTTTGTAATTTTGGACAAAAAATATCTGTTCTGGGGTCTTCATTCTGAGTTTAATTCAATTGAATACATTCGAGAATTAATATGTATACTTTGACGCTTGAATATATAATTATATCAATTTAATGAAGAAAAAAAGGAAAACCCTCGTAGTATACAGATATAGTCCAGTCAAATTAGCACAAAAAAGAGATCTAGTTTGCAAAATGTTACTTAATTCCAATTTCTTTTTTACAATGTAAGGCACGTAGTGAATATAAAAAATCCAAGTTTCCGCCCTTGAAAGCCCTGTGGGTTCACTGCAGTGCTCCAAAAACCATTGAAATTTCGAACTTTTTTTGGTTTATGCTAAATATCTTCTTTTAAAAGCGACATGATAGATAAAAATGGTAATATTCAACCTTAAACAGCTTACAATTATCTAATATATTTTTCTAGACCCAACAGGAAGTTAACCACCGAGCTTTCAAAAAGGGTAAAGATTTGAAAATTCACGACAGAACATGTATAATTTTTAATTTTTGATTAACTGTATTTATAGGTGATGTAGCTCAAATTTTTAAATTGAACACATATCAAAAATATTATACCATTTACTAAACCATTCATTACACCTTTTTGTATAAATAATTATAAAACCTATACATTTTGAACCACTTTATAATAAGAACATATGCCATAAATTTGATGACTGACACTCAATTGATTCTGAAGTTACATTTCATCAAAAAGTATGTAAGTTGTTATACATTAAAAAATGGTCAATGAATACCCCATGATATGAAGGCATGGAGGTTAAGATAGATGGGTGGGGCATGTAGCTCATAGCAATCCATCTGAAAGCCTTTTAAGTAACAATGAATGTCTCAATAGAAAGCAAAAGACCACGTGGAAGGCCAAAAAGCAGATGGATAGATAGAATCAACAAAGATGAAATAGAGCTGCGTGCTGATAACTGAAAAGAAATAGCCCCAGACAGGCAGAGATGGAGCAGGCTTGTTAAAGCGGCAAAAGACCTACAAGATCTGTAATGCCAACAGAAAAAAAACATCAAAAATTCTATTTAGATTTATTTTTTCACATGTAGCAAATAGTTTTTATTTGCTCACAATGATTTTAATAAGATAAAAAAATATGATGAGATATCAAAAATAAATATTATATATCAATAGATTATAAGAGCAATATTTTCCAGTCCTATCACTATAAAAGCGGAAAAGGCAACATACAGTTGAAATGCTTAACATATGGCATATAATGCAGAGATGGACAAATTTTACTCTTGAGTACTGAGTACCAAGTATGATACTCACATACTGACCTTTTTTGAGTACCAAAGAATTTAATTGCTAATTCAGTTGATGTCAAATAATTAATTGAAGCAGTGATTGAATTCCTAATAGTGATTCAATTTGAGTAAAAGACTTGGTGCTTGGTACTCCGAGTAGCATTTGCCCATCTCTGATATAATGTGATAGTAGCTGTTACTACTGCAAAAGCTTATATACTTACCATATAATTCAAATAACGATAGAATTCAATTCAATGTCGTAATTTAATATTGCAGGGTGCTGATTTATTGTTAATAAATCACAATTTTCAACCACATTTGCTACTTCGGTAAGTTTCATAATTTTTCACTCAGTCCCTTTTATGTTATTCAAATTCAAAGCTACCAAAAAATGAGTTCGCCATTTTTGAAAATTCATACTTAAGGACAAGGTTTTTAAGAATACAAAAATTAAAGGTGAGACTTTTCATTATTACACTTTTATAGTGCTAAATGTCTCATTTATGATGATTTTTATTTTATGGCAGTGAATTTTTTAAACGTAATTTCTCATTACAATGGGGATGTTTTGTGATAACAGAAAATGCAGAGCAAAACATCTTTATAATTTTAGTTTGTTTGGATAATAGCAAAGATACCAGAGTTAAAGACGTTTTGCTAAAATATGTTTTTAGCCGAAAAGCAAATTCAAAATGGAGTAGGTATGCTGGTATGTATCTATGTATAATATATGGTATGTATAATAATCTTCATCATAATTTTAGTTTTTATTTTGGTTTGATAAATGTAAAATTATCATAGTTAGGGATTATTTCCCAAATTGTGTGATTTAAAATAGATTAGCCCTATAAAAAAAGACAATGTACGCCACAATTTCCATAGGTGCCGGTCAGGGGATTACGAGTATATTTGTGATGAACCACTATGGGGTTGTACACATGGACTACATACTGCTACTCTAATCATTGAGTAATCTTACTTATATCTAACAACAGAAAACTCAGAAATTTAGCTCATAGGACAAAACTACCTAGTTAATATAAGAAGAAGTTTGAGGTGAGAATATTATTAGCTTGGCTATGTAGAATTATTAAGCCAATGTTGATAGTGCAAAGCAGGTGGAGGCCACGGAAGCTGAGAAAGTAAGCAAGCGATACTCGCTTTATAATTCTTTAGTTTAGTGACACCTGTTCAACAAATATCCCCTGAGCAGGTTGGAATTTATTTCATTACAGGGAATGAATCTCAACCTTCCCCCACTGGTTATAATATATTAGAATAATTCAGGTTATAATATAGAATAATAATCTGTAAAATAATCCCTCCCTCTTATATGACAGATATGGAAAGGAAATATCAGGTATCAAGGAGCTATGCTTAATCCTACCGGTTATCAGTAATTGTACCCAACTAAACCGTTTAAAATATATTTCAGCCTCCATATTTATATGAGTTATTGGATGGTTTTAAATTGTTTTGAAATATTGCATCTCATATGGCTCGCAGTAATAATGCATTGCTTAGTTGACCAGCCGTATCCAGCTAATTTCTTGTAACTGAACCAAATCTTACAATTTTTGTATTCTTAAATACAAGTGGTGGACAATTTAATCATGATCGAAGAAATAGATAAGTGAGTGAGATTTGTGAGCAAACATATATAAAGAAAAAGAGGTTCACAGTTAAACTAAACTGTGAACTACAAGGCAGTTTTTATTCAAATAAACCATTAAAATAAACAAAATGTAATGTAAAAACTTACTACTGATAACTAATACCTAATACATACCGTTATGGGTAAGAAGCCGGGCATTAGAGGAGCTCTAAGAGGGGGATTTGTAATGAGATTAGTAGGTGGTGTCGGAGCTTGAGGTAAATCAATTGTGGCACTGTTCACAACAGGAGCTCCTGTGTTGAGAACCACATTTCCGCCTGTCCTAAATCAAGAAGGTGAAAAAGATGAACAAACGACAAGGAATATTACTTCTGAAAGAGGAGAGGAGATAAAAATGGTTGGATTATAAATATTAGTAAATGAAATAGTTCCAAAAATGAAAATGAGTGATTCACGTCTATAACATGAACACATAACAAATACCAACTGAAATGTATACATAATATAACAATAAATTAAGTTTATGTTTACAAATTAACTCTATATCTTCTTGGCAGAATTCATTTACCTTCCGTTCTTGTGTAATCTTCTCCATTTTAAAAAATCTTTTAAGAGTTTTCCAGGGATTCATTTATTAAAACAATATTATCAGCAAAGATAAAAAATAGACTTAATAATGGAATCAGATTCCTATATTCCACTATTGTAATTAATACAGATCTGCAATAGATTATGGTAAATTCATCTATATATATAATAATTAGGAACAACAACAGTCTTTCTCAAAGAGTAAATTGTTCTTCAAGAACTAGATTTAGTAACCTGGTCTGTTAATTGTATTGACAAGACAAACTTGCTGGGTATTTAATTTGTTACACAGTCCATCTATACTTAATTTCTAGAGATCAATTCAAGATTTTATTGCACCACATAATTAATAAACTACAAGAATCAGAAAAATCATAATTCATAATCCGTAGTTAATTTAGGGATTAGTTCCTCATTAAATGTAGAACAAATTATGAAAAGTTCCTTAATTTTACATGTTTGCTTCTATTGAAAATAAATGGAGTGTCAAAGATGGCCTTTTATCACTTTTTGTCTTATTTCATGCCTTTCTTCATATCTTCATCAAAATCATTGTAATTGAATCCTGGAAAAACTTATTTTATTGGCAAGGATTAATTATGAATGAACTGTAAACTAATCCATTTGACATAAAAAAGTTAAATTTTCATGATTTTACTATTCACCCCTCATAACTTCAAATTATTGACAAATCAAAAATGTGTTTCTTATGTATTTGTAGTACTAAACAAGATAAATAATTTGAAAAAAAAATTAAAAAAGAATTTTTGATATTTGCAGAAAAATAGTGGATTTTTTATTTTTAATAAAGTGGCCATAATCTTAAAACTGAATTTCATTTTGGACAATTTCGACTGGATAGGTAGCTATGAAAAGCTCCTCGTGTTGACTATATACCACCAGAACTATTGAAGTATGGTAGTACACAGTAAGCTGTATGAAGTAATTTTTGATATATGGTTGAGTGAAAAGAGGGCAGTTGAATGGTCTACTTCCATCTTATGCCTCATCTACAAAAAAGGAGACCGAGTGAATTGTGACAATTACACTTGACATGCACTACTTACCGTTACCTACAAGGTTCTTTTTTCTTTGATATGCAAGAGATTAAAGGCACACATGGGGAGAATAGTTGGTGATTATCAAAGTGGATTTAGACAGAGAAGGTCAACAGCTGACAGCATTTTTGTTCTAAGGCAGTTGTTGGAAAAGACACACGAAAATGACATCACACTTCATTCACCACCTCTCCATTGATTACCAGCAAGCCTACAATTGTGTCGATGAGGTGTATCTACTAGCCTGATTTACGTAGATTTGGAGTTCTTTCAAAGATAGTGCCATATGGTTCATATGAGTATGAGCGGCTCACTATGGATAGTGTTTTCTTGTTAATGATGTACTTTGGCAAGGAGATCCCAAAGTTGCAACTCTTTTTAATTTTTCCATCGAGGGAGCAGTACAAGGGATCAATTCTGGCTGCACAATCTACAATAGATATATGCAGGTATTGCCCTACACAGATGATGTCCACCAGGTACCAAGGACTCTTCTTGCACTTAGTGGGGCCTTGGAAGAGTTGGAACGGAAGGCCAATATAAGAGAACTCCATGACAATGAGAGCAAAACGGAGTATATGAGGAGCACAAATAACCAGTCGTCAAGGACACAATCTATTAATATCAGTGGTCACAGTTTTCCAGTTTGTGAGGCCTTCAAATACCTTGGATCTCTCGTCACCAAAAGAAATGAGCTCTGCATAGAAATAGAGGCTAGATTAGCTAATCAATTAATCAATTAGATTCAAAGATCTTTCATGGAGTGTCAAAGTGATTATTTATAAAACCATTATATGGCCAGTAGGTACTTATGGAAGCGAGACATGGATCCTGAAGCAGGAAATGGAAAGGCAATAAGCTAGTGGGAACAAGGAGTGCTCAGAAATATATCCAGACCAGTCTGCTCTTACGGAGAGTGGAAAATCAGAAAGAACGATGAATTGAGAGCCTTATATGGGGGTCCCATAATATTGCCAATGGCCTCCCAAAACCATCAAAGCCAGGAGGTGCTTGAAAACGTGGATGTTCTAGGATGAGATGGTTGGATAATATTGATGCATACCTTCGGCAGCTGTGAGTTAGAAGATGGAAAGCTCTTAGAGGAAGGTAGCACTAGAAATAAAAATAATAATTAACCCTATTGGGCAACTGATGAACACAGTTATTGGGATTTTACGCCCCCGGGGTTCTTGAGTACATCATACTGTTCACAAATGCACACAATACAATACAGAATAACATATACACTGACACTGGGGCATTTTCAGAACACACCCTAGGGCATCCTTACCTAGGAAGGCCTGGCAGAAGGTTTAAAACGGAATATGGAACATGGAAACATTGAAAATGGAACTCATCAAAAATGGAAATAAGAAATCGACGAATAGTCTTGGATGAGCCTGGGAATGAAGCTGCACCAGACGGAAACCTTCGACAGCTTCCTTCAGGTAATGGCGGAGCAATGGACTACAAAGACTGCAAAAACCAGCAACTGGTTTGAGTTCGGGAATGGGCGAGACTATTTCTCCTTCTGCATGAACCTGGCAACAGATACTAAGAGGTGCCCGAAGGATGAAATGGACGTCAGAAATGAACAAGGCAGTCATCCAGGCATATCTTTTGGCAACAATAAGATAATGTGCAATCTCAACCATGGACATACAGCATTACAATTAACTACTCCAGAAACTGCTACATCCATCTTTTTCACATACAATGACTGACTGGAATAATGGAAGTTAAAAACACTGCACGGAAGATTTTTTTCACCAGCTTCAACAAACTGAAATAGATAAAACATTATCTACTAGTTGGCTGGTTAAAGGAAATCTGTTTCCCAAGACAGAGGGCTTTCTGAAAGCAATCCAAGATCAAATCATAGCAACAAGGTCTGACTTGCGACATGTCTTGAAGCAACAGACAAGTGTAGGCTCTGTGCCAGCACGTTCGAGTCTATTCAGCACATAACTGGAGGGTGCGGAGCGCTGGCTAGTACAGAATACTTCAATGACAATGTTGCAAAAATTTATCACCAGGCAATTGGTCTAAAAAGAAAGTTAGTGAATGATTTGATTCCATATTGTAAGTATTTAGGAATATCTTATCCAGAAGAAAGAAATGAAATTATACTGGAATCAATCTTTTATGACAGATCATACAGTGATCCATAACAGACCTGATATCGTGTTGATCGATAGTAATATGAAGACAGCTGAGATAATAGATATCGCTGTGCCAAATGATGGGAACACCAACTCACTCTGAGCTGAAAATATCTGGAAATATCAAACTCTTGCAGCCGAATTAAAAAGATTTGTGCAGAATGAATAAATTGACAGTGAGGGCTGTAGTGGTATCTAGCAATGGGCTGATTCCAAAATCCACTGTAGAAGCTACCGAGAAGTTGGGCCTCTCAACAGCCACAATAAATGAAGCCCAGAAAGCTGTGCTGTTGAACACTGCGAGAATCGTAAGGAGCTTCCTAAATATCCAATACAACTACAAACATTGACGCGAAGTGGTTGAAGTTAATTCTTCACCACTCCAGGAAAAAACCCTTTTTTTAAAGTGTTAAACAATGAATAATAATAATAGGTAGTTGATTCTATGATAATTGATTCTAAGTTTCTTTGACAACTTTCACTGAGGTACACACACATGCTCAATGTGATTGTGATCTGGAAACAAAGTACAAAGGGGCAGATAAAAAATTTTCTAGACATTGATAAACAAATTTTCCGATGTGAGGTCTCGCAATGTCGTCGAGGAAACAGAAATCTGGACCAATTATGGCCTTGGTTTAAGGAATGTAATCCTCTATTATTTCTTAAACATAACTTAAACACCGGGCAACGGGCAATAATACTATTGTAGCACACACTCGTACATTTCTTTTGGTAGGGAATGGTGACTGGAGAAGGAAAAAAAAGAAATAAAAAAAAACACAAAAAAATTTAAATGGAATGATTTGGTCAGGATTTAGTGGAATGGAGTGCATCATGCAGTAAATTGGTACTACAACAGAAATAAGACTTTAATTCCATATGCTTTAACAGCCACTTACTTTCTCACATATTAACAAATCTACAAGAGGTCTATAGAAAATTGAATGCTCTTTCAAAATGTTTATAATAAATGTCTTCAAGAGATGCATAGATTTTAAATTTTTGGGGAAAAAAGAAGAAATGAGCTATTTATTGTGAAATAAGTAAACAGTTATCTTGCTGTAATTTCTCACTAGTTGAACTCACATTAAAAAGCTATTCTAAAAATATTTGTAGAAGATTTTATGTTCTTTAACTTTATTAAGAGTAATAATTGTGATGAAATATTTAGTTTTGGAGACATTGCCAAAAAACTATAAGAAGTGAAGAAATTTCGTATTTTTTGGATATTTCTCGGAACGCAATCGAAAATTTAGTTTTAAAACTTCAAATTCAGATTCAACATCCTAAAAAACATAATAAACCAAAAAGAAACCAGAAAACGCAACCGAGTACATCGTCAATCGAGGTGACTTCTCTTTTAGAGACATATTCTTTTCATCATACCAAAATTTCAGCTGTTAGTTCTAACATTAAATGAAACGTCAAATGTCGCCACTTTAATTTAAATTTTAGTATAGAGAGCAACGGTTTTCAGCCGACTGACTGAAGTTTTATGTTCAAATGATGTT